TACACTCTTAATGCTACTCTTTGCCACTGCTGCTTCATGTTGTCTGCCACTGCTACCTCATGATGTCTGCCACAGCTGCTTCATGTTATCTGCTGCTGCTACCTTATGATGTCTGCCACTGTTGATTCATGTTGTCTGCCACTTCTGCTTCATGTTGTCTGCCACTGCTACCTCATGATGTCTACCACTGATGTCGCCAAAGAATCAAACATTACTGCTATTTTGAGCTCAATTTCAAGGTACTTTTCATGGTGAAACCAATTAAAACCATATTTATTTTTGTAGTATATCTTCCATTCTATCACATGAGACCAAATAAAACGAGAATACAACCATAAAAACCGTACAAAAATATACTGTTAAGGGGAAGCTAATGGCTGAGAAGTGAACTCCGTTAGTTATGGTAAAATTTCTTTAATTTTTGGTGTACGTTAAGAAGCATCTTTTCATCATACATTGCCCAAGTTTTAATAAGATAGTCCAAGTTTCAATAAGATAGATCCAATTCCCTAGATCAAGAGCAAGATCCCCCTCACCAGTGTCAATTAACCTCCCTTGAGGCCCATTTGCATCTGGAAATTTTGCTCGCGTCTGGAAGCAAAAAATCGACCGAGCAGCTGCTCGTATCTGGAAAAACTCGCACGTGGATGCACTCGTAAGTAGAGGTTCCACTGTATTAGTCTGCCAGAAATACTCAGGCATGATAGTGGCTTTCTTAGTTTTTAACATTTTATAAAATGTAAATCACACATTGTAACCTTTCCAGAGAATAAAAATTATATTGTTGTACACATGTTTACAGAACTTTGCTATATTTTAAATTTTTATAAATTACCCTTTACAAATACAGGCACTCTTCAATGACCGACCGGTTTAATCCTTAAACGGTCCAAACGTATATATACGTTCACTTGCTCAGTGCCCCAAATTTTTTGAGAGAAAATTTTTTTTTTTTTTAATAGGAAAAAAGAGTATTTGGTACCCAGGCAACCCCAATTTTTTTCATATGGTGCACAGTGAGTGCACACACCCATTCTCTCATGTCTAGGTGACTCAGGCATATCATGCCAATGTTGAATGAATGACAAAGGAAACGTATACAGTGGTCCCTCGTTTTTCGTAATTAATCCGTTCCTGGAGGAGCTACTATAAATTAAATTTACGATTTGCGAATAAATTTTCCCCATAAGAAATGATGTAAATACAATTAATCCATTCCTGACACCCAGAAGTATTAAAACAAAAAAAAAATTTACATGAAATATACAAGTAGTACATAAACAATACAATGGGAAATGATGAATGAAACATTAACAGCATAATACTTACCTTTATTGGAGATTCTTCTTAGTGTATGGGAGACAGGAGAAGGAGAGAGATTGGATTGTTTACAGTTTGGAAGAGGAATCCCCTTCCAGCAACACCTCAGGTACCAATTGCTTCTCTGGGGTTGCTTCTCTTCTCTGTTTCTTAATGCCACTAGGACCACCTTGAGAGTCACTAGTCCTGTCTCACAAAGTAACTGTGGAGAGAGCTCTGTTTCTGGCGTCTCTTTAACACTTCCCTAAAATGGCCCAAGACTTTGTCACTGTACATATTTCTCACCTACTTTACCACAGGCTTGGCACTAGGAGCTTTCTTTGGAGCCATGGTAGCTTATTTAGTACTTGCAAGCACTAAAATGAGTGGAATATTATGAAATATTTCGTAGGAGCACTTGAGGGGACCTTCACTCACTGGTAAACAATGCCAGGCTGGCTGGGTAGGGAGACCTCCCCGGCTCACACCGTGCGTACGCGTCCCAGACGAACTACTATTTGCGAGTCAACCTATGAAAAGCGAGTCCATGTTTATACGAAAATACAGTGGACCCCCGCATAATGATCACCTCCGAATGCGACCAATTATGTAAGTGTATTTATGTAAGTGCGTTTGTACGTGTATGTTTGGGGGTCTGAAATGTACTAATCTACTTCACAATATTCCTTATGGGAACAAATTCGGTCAGTACTGGCACCTGAACATACTTCTGGAGTGAAAAAATATCGTTAACCGGGGGTCCACTGTACCCCTATGATTGGCAAAATTTATGATTGCCGAGAACTACGAAAAGCGAGGGACCACTGTATATACGTTTGGGGCACTATGCGAGAGAACGTATATATATGTTTGGACCGTTTAAGGGTTAATGACCACTCAGACTTACGACCAGCTCTCCAACCAGTATGTAAACCAAAGTAATGTATATTACAGCTGATTTCTTCTGTTTTGTTTATTACAGTATACAGAACACTACAGTATAAACTTTTAAAAATGTATAGCTGCTTATAAATATCCTGATAATTTGTTATTCTTAATATATCCCTCTAATGTGCAGCTGTTGCTGAAGAAATAAATGATGACGGAAGGGCTGCCGAACTGCAGTAAATTATTTCTGTGGGTGGCTACGAGCCACATCAAGTGTTTAACCCTTTGAGGGTTTCGGTCGTACTAGTACGGCTTACCACCCAGGGTTTTTGACGTACTAGTACGCCTCAAATCTAGTGGGAGAAAGCTGGTAGGCCTACATATGAAATAATGGGTCTATGTGGTCAGTGTGCACAGTATAAAAAAAATCCTGCAGCACACAGTGCATAATGAGAAGAAAAAAATCTTTGACCGTTTTTTTGGAATAAAACAACGACTTTGCACTGTATTTTTGTATGGTATTTATTGTTGTATTCAAGTTTTCTTGGTCTCATTTTATAGAATGGAAGACATATTGCAGAAATTGAGATGATTTTGATTGGTTTTACAATGAAAAGTACCTTGAAATTGAGCTCAAAGTAGCAGAAATGTTAGATTTTTACCAAAGTTCAAAAGTAAACAAATCACGCCAAGCGTCCAATACACGTCAATTGGTGAGTCTAATATTCTTTCACAAGTGTGCCAATATTATTTATACCATTTTTTACACTAGTGTAGTAGCCTGCATAACAGTAAATCTTCTATTTTTTGTGAGAATAAAAATTTAAAGTGGAAAGCAAAAGAATGTAAGAGGGGACTTGAGACGTGACTAATGAACAGAGGAAATGCCATTTTAGTGCCAGGAATGTCTTTCTTGTTTATTCTGGACCCTATTCAGAAATTGGCATCTTTTGAAATTTGTGTGAAATTGGCAAAATTGCTCAATTCTGACCACTGTAATGGATAGTTGAAATTGATAAATTGGTGGCTTCTTGCACTCATTCGATAGAACAAATGGAGTTCTAGCGAAATATTCATGTTTTTTATCGACTAATACAGTGGAATTGGCCAAAAATGGGGCTCAAAGTGGGCAAAATCGCCGATGCATAAACATCGCTGAAACTGCTAACTTTGCGAGAGCGTAATTTCGTAAGTTTTCCATCAAATTTCAAACTTTTGGTGTCATTATGATCGGGAAAAGATTCTCTATCTTTTTATAAGAGAATTTTTTTTTTTTAATCTGGCCGACCCTGAGAACGAGTCTCGGAGAGGGCCTGTCAACCCTCAAAGCGTTAATGCTGATGAGACAAGTGGGATAGGAGGTAGGAGTAGATTTGTCTATGTATTATTCTTTCATAGATTTTTGAGAGCAGAGACAAGTTAGAAACTGGTCTGTAGTTATTTAGATCTGTAGGATCACCTCCTTTGTGGATCAGGGTGACCTTGCCATCTTGAGTATGGATGGGAATTTAGAAGATTCAACAGATTTATTAAATAGTATTGCAATAATGGGTGACAGCACATGAGCTGCTTTTTTATATATGACTGTTGGCAAGTCATTTAGGTCTCCTGCTTTGTTTTTTAAATGATTTAATTATTAGTGACGCTTCAGTAGGATTTGGTGAAAATTAGACACATGTGTGACATCTGGTTATCTTTAGCCCCTTGACTATTGAAACCCCAAATCCTGAGGTGTCTCCTGGTGTCGAAAAATATTCGGAAAAAAAAATTCTTAAGAAAACGTTAAGAATATTTTTCTGAGTGTTTTCGCCCGAAAAAATTTTTTGCCATCAGTACTTACCGAGATATAGAGGCTTGAAGTTGGCAGAAAATAAGCTGTGTATGGCAACAGCGGCGACTGCTGCTCACCCGGTAAACTTTGGTTTACTTGTATTCGAAGGTTTCTTGTTTTTTTCACTATTTTGTTTTTTCACATAACTTTATGTGGCTTGTGAGACCAAAGTATGGTGCAATGTTCATAAATACATTCATTGAATGTAACACAATTATAGCAAAAGCACTAGTATCATCATATTTTTTACAAAACTTGTTTACACAATACAAAATATTGTTTATTACGATTGTTCTACAATATATATACATACGCACAATCACTGGACACTTTCCTAGAACTGCTGCAGCTTGCGGAATTCTTTGAAACATAGGTGTATGCACAATGGTGTTTTACACTCCTCACACATAAAATGAGTGTCTCTGCATTTTTGTGGTATGTGCAGACATAACACCTCTTCTGAGCATTTTTCTTGAAAGCAGTAGCAGGCAGTGGTATGGGGTAGTGATCACCAGACCTCAGACGAGATGGCATGTGTTGGTAATTTCGTGGGCGCTGGTCTATTGCAAGTGTTATTCCTTGGTACTTGAATATTATTTGTCTGATGACTGACAAACAAAATTCGCCATATTTGGGTTTGTTGTTGGTCTTCAACTTCTACATATAAGCAGTCAGTTGGGAAATGTCAAGAAGATGGAAAAAGAGTTTTAGGTACCACTTATAATACACAAATAACCTGCACATAAAAGAGAGAAGCTTACGACGACGTTTCGGTCCGACTTGGACCATTGACAGTCACACAGTGTGACTTTGTCAATGGTCCAAGTCGGACCGAAACGTCGTTGTAAGCTTCTCTCTTTTATGTGCGGGTAATTTATGTATCGTTCCAGTCATGGTATTGTGCCTTTTTGTTATTTACCACTTATAACTCTTGCAAACGCAATCAGCAAACCCAGTCTGCATGTCACATTTGTCCACTAACTGCATATTGAGGCTGTAATCTACCATTTTGTGTCGGTGAAGTGATGTCAACAGTGTGACATCACGTTTGTCATGCCACTGAAATGCTAGGATGTCAATGTCAGCAAACACCTGAACATCACATCTACGAGTGCCTGCGTCGAACCTAGGCACATGTTTACGATTTCCATGCACTGTGCCACACATATCTGTCATGTTCACTTGCAAGAAATCATTGAGTGAGGGGATTGTGCACCAGTTGTCAATATATAAAATATGCCCCTTACCAAGATATGGTTCCATCATTGTTCTAACCACATCACCAGAGATACCCAGTAACTTCCTGGTATATTGCAATGTTTTACTGCTAGTGTACATAATTATATCCAAAATCAGACCACTTTTGCAAAACTCAGTACAAATAACTTTCTTCTTGCTTGGTATGTACTGCTTGAATGACAGTCTGCCTTTGAACAAAATCAAAGACTCATCAATAACAAGCTTCCTGAAGGGATAAAAATGCATATAGCACTCTTGTTTCAGGTACATAAACACATTTCTGATCTTATATAACCTGTCACTTCTGAGGCCTTGTTTTGTCTGAAAAGTGTAGCATACGTAAGAGTAGCACAAATCTATTCACTGGTATAATATCACCGTAAGCTGGGGTTGAAATCAGGCGGTCTGTCAACCAGAATGCGTTGACACTGTGCTTATACACATGTGACATAAGCATTATTGTAGCAAAGAACAGATACATCTCTGCCACAGTTGTGTCCTTCCACTGGTGTAGGTGTGATCTTGGTGAAAGAATTGTGTTTGCCATGGTGTACTCAAAGTATGTATTGCTTTCCCTGACAATAATGTCCATCAAGGGTTCATTGAAGAATAACTGAAAGCATACCAGTTCAGTGGCATTGTTCCCAAGTGTACATGATGGCCGTATTCCACTATGTGTTTCATCAAAGTCATGGGGATTGGGAACAAAATTGTGACCTAGCTTCCAATCCCAGATGTGGTCTGCTGGTGGGTTCTGGATATTTTAAGGTGGTTGTGGTTGTGCAGGTCGTGGTTGTGGATGTTGTGAGAGTGTGGGGTTGGTTGAGGCTGGCTGTGGTTGTGCTGAGTTAGCAGTGTCGGTAGTAGTATGGCCCGCTGCTGGTGCCACACGACTCATGCCACCATCACTATCACCACCGCCACCTGCTGCCTCACTCACATTAGTCAAACCCATTGTAACAATATTGTCATCTTCACTATCAGTTCATGGTGTAGGGCCATGGGATGTACTCCAAGGTTTACTCCTTCCCCTTGGAACATATGACACACTACGAGAATGCATGCTATGTCGTATATACTGCCGCTTCACTGGAGAATATTCACCCTCACTGTCGCTACTAGAACTGCTTTGAAATCACTATCACCATCACTTTCACTGCTCACATCTGAGTCTTGTACATGGGCAAATAGTATCCTCTTTCATCCTGGTACAGATGAACATGAATGAGACGGCCCAACACCAGATGTGGAAGGTTGTGGGTCATCTGGATTTTCATCACTAATTACGTTATCCTGGGCGCTGCTTTCAGTCACACCCACTCCAAAACCATGAAATTCACTTTCACTGGCACTTCCATCACTGTTAGAGCTATCACTTGGGAACAAAAGACCTCCAATCCGCCGAGGAGCGAGGTACTTCTTACCGTGAGGCATGGTGAAAATGGACTACCAAGATGGCATTCCCACAATGCACCACTGAGTCCCTGATTTTTTTCACAGGGTGCACACCCACCACTCAGACCCATTCTCTCTCATGCAGGCCTACCAGCTTTCTCCCGCTTGATTTGAAGCCGTTAGAATTTATGCATATCAATACGTCAAACATGGTGGCTCATAAGATGTACGTATATGACCAAAACAGTCAAAGGGTTAATTGTAGACGTTTCACCAACCAGTGGCTTTATCAATACAGAATCCAGGACATGTCTTGAAGACGTATCAGTAGCATTTGTTGGTGCTATATATATAGAGTAGTCTTGTGGCTGAGTACAGTGAACCCCCAGTTTGCGATGGCATCGGTATCCGATAAATCCGGTATTCGATACATTTTAACGCGAAAATTTTGCCTCAGTTCCCGTTAAAAAACCCGCCATACGCGATTCGTCCGAGATGTGTCCACGTGTGGCCTAGTGTTTACAAGCCAGCCAGTGTGCTCGCATCTAAGGATACACTCGGTACATTCCATATTATCAGAGTGTTTTTGGTGCTTGTTTCTGCAAAATAAGTCACCATGAGCCCCAAGAAAGCTTCTAGTGCCAACCCTGTGGTAAAAAGGGTGAGAATTAGTATGGAAATTAGGAAAGAGTTTGAAGGGTTTGGGGCTAACCCAGAGAAGCCTATGCCAGTTGTGGAATCCATTGTGCCTACTTCAAAAATTAAGGAAATGTGTGCAAAGTGGGTTGAACTGCAAACCTTTATGAATGAAAATCACCCTAACATAGCTTTTGCAAGCCGTGCTGGTGACTATTACAATGACAATGTTGTGGCCCATTTTAGACAAATCGTAAAGGAACGGGAGGTACAGAGCTCTATAGATAGATTTGTTGTGCGACAGAGGTCCAGTGACTCTCAAGCTGGTCCTAGTGGCATTAAAAGAAGAAGGGAAGTAACCCTGGAAAAGGACTTGCTACCTCAAGTCCTAATGGAAGGGGATTCCCTTTCTAAACAATAAGTTCGACACTCTCCCCTCCTCCTATCCCATCAATCATCACCAGATCTTCATTAAAGGTAAGTGTCATGTATTCTATTGTTAGTAGAGTACTACAAACTATGCATGTCTTCTTCAGTTTGTGTGCATTAAACTTAATATTTCATGTGGTAAAAAAAAAATTTCATACTTTTGGGTGTCTTGCACGGATTAATTTGATTTCCATTATTTCTTATGGGGAAAATTGATTCACTTTTCGATAATTTTGGTTTACGATGAGCTCTCAGGAATGGATTAATATTGCAAACCGGGGGTCCACTGTATTTGCATTTGGAACATAACAATGTTGTTGACATTAAAAAAATAAAAAAAAATAAAAATTCTTTTTTGGCCAAGGTTACAATGTGATTACATTTCATAATTTGAATGGTACAAAGAAAGCCACTATCATGCCAAGGCATTTCAAGCAGACTTAACCTTATACATAAATACTACTTAAGACTAGACAGGTGAAGAGTGGAAGAATACAATACAGTGGACCCTCGACTAACGCTATTAATCCATTCTTGAGAGCTCATCGTTAGTCAAAATAATCGTTAGTCAAGTTAATTTTCCCCATAAGAAATAATGGAAATCAAATTAATCCGTGCAAGACACCCAAAATTATTGAAAAAAAAAAAATTTTAACACATGAAATATTAATTTTAATACACACAAACTGAAGAAGACATGCACAGTTACATGACACTTACCTTTATTGAAGATCTAGTGATGATTGATGGGATGGGAAGAGGGGAGTGTGTTGATGGTCTTAGTGTTTAGAAGGGGAATCCCCTTCCATTAGGACTTGAGGTGGCAAGTCCTTTTTCGGGGTTACTTCCCTTCTTCTTTTAATGCCACTAGGACGAGCTTGAGAGTCACTGGACCTCTGTCGCACAACATATCTGCCCATAGAGGCCTGTACCTCCCGTTCCTTTATGACATTCCTAAAGTGTTTCACAACATTGTCAGTGTCACCATTAAACACTTGCTCAGGTTTCAGTCCTTCACTGTCTATGTACTCCTTGAATTCCTGCACATATTTTTCAGCTGCTTTTTGGTCCAAACTGGCAGCCTCACCATGCCTTATCACACTATGTATGCCACTACGATTCTTAAATCTCTCAAACCAACCTTTGCTGGCCTTAAATTCACTCACATCACCACTAGTTGCTGGCATTTTTCTAATTAAATCGTCATGCAACTTCCTAGCCTTTTCACATATGATCGCTTGAGAGATGCTATCTCCTACTATCTGTTTTTCGTTTATCCATACCAATAACAGTCTCTCAACATCTTCTATCACTTGCGATCTCAGTTTCGAAAACATAGTTGCACCTTTGGCAAGAACAGCTTCCTTGATTGCCGTTTTCTTGGCCACAATAGTAGCGATGGTTGATTGGGGTTTTGTGTACAGCCTGGCCAGCTCAGAGACATGCACTCCACTTTCATACTTAGCAATGATCTCTTTCTTCATATCCATAGTAATTCTCACCCTTTTTGCTGTAGGGATGGCACTGGAAGCTTTCTTGGGGCCCATGGTGACTTATTTTGCAGGTGCAATCACTAAAAAGGCTGTGATAATATGAAATGTTCCGATTGTATGCTTGGAAGCGACCGCGGTGGCTGGCTGGCTTGTAAACACTGGCCAGAAGTGGACGCGTCTCAGACAGAAGGAATAGTGTTGGTCGAGTTTTTTAGCACTAATCGAGGCAAAATTTTTGCGATAAAATGTATCGCTAGTCAGATTTATCGTTAATCGATGCCATCGCTGGTCGAGGGTCCACTGTATTCAATATTTTACTCTATTACTAATATGAGGTAGTACAATTTATGATACAAACATACATTTTTAAGTTTGTAATAATGGCTTAATAGTTAAGGGATAATAAAATTTTTGGGAGAGTTGCTTTAAATTCGGTTAGTTTAGCATAGTGTAGGTATGGTTGTTATTGGGAGATGTGATGATTTTTGAGTATAGTACTAAATTGTTTTGTGGGCAGGGGATTTCTTACTGTTTCAGGCAAAGAGCTCCATATCTTAAGGCCCTTTATGTGCAATGCATTTTTGCAAAGTGTGAGAGAGACACAAGGGATGTCAAAAAGTGTTTTGTGCCTTGTGTTATGTCTGTGTTTTCTGTTGAAGCTATCTAGGAGAAGTCTGAATGGAGGGTTGATATTGGAGTTTGATGTTCTGTTTATATAGTAGGCACAATAGTGTGTATATTTTGTATATTAAGGAAGTTAAAGCTTTTGAAGAGTGGTGGGGTGTGTTGTCTGGTTCAGGAGTTAGTGATCATCCACACAGCAGCTTTTTGTTGGGCTATTAAAGGTTTAAGGTGACTGACCATTGTAGATCCCCAAGCACAAATACCATGGGTGAGGTAAGAGTATATTAGAGATTGATATAAAGTAAGGAGCGTCCCTTGCAGAACATAGTATTATTTTT